ACTTTTCAGGCAGAGAATTCCACATCCTTATTGTTCTTACAGTAAAAAAAAAACTTTCCTTTGCCTTAGACAATATACATGATTATACCTGAGAAATATACATAAAAAATAGTTAAAAACATTGGAAGACCATTATAAAAAGGGAGTAGAATTCAAAATCCTTGTTTAAACCCATTGGTTGCAGAGTTCCTAAGCTAAAAATCCACCTCATTTCTGATGACCAAGACTTCTCATGATGTCACCTCATCGCACATTTCCTAAAATCTTCTGAATGCCCTTAAATTGTAACACTTTTGGATCCCCGTTATGTGCAGTTTTAAAATGATGGGATGCACGCACGCTCGCGTCCCCATCGTCGTTCTGCAGATAGGGGTCTTTTGTTAAAATAAGATTTATACCTTCAATTATGAAAGTAATTTTCTCAGTTTTAAAGTGACTAGCTTGCTCTAAAAAATATTTTACTGCTGTGCAGCCCCTTACATGTGATCTGATCGTATAGAGGGAGATTACCTGTGCAGTAACTAAATATTCATTACTCTACTTAATCCCTTCAGTTACTTGTAAAAACAAACAAACAAAAAAAAACATCCCCAGTATTTTTAAGATAACTTGGGTTTGTTTGGATTATCGCTATATCCTATCTTGTGGCCCTTTTTAAAGAATTGATGGAATCTTTCTTTTATTTCCCTTGTAGAGTCCCATTTTAATTTCCTATATTTGGTTTTATCTTCTAATAATCTTTGACTGCTCTACATAGTTCTTAGTTGTCATCAGCACAATGCCCCCCCCCCTTTCCTTGTCCGCTGGCTTTATAATCATCAATTGGAAATTAACACAGAGATACTTTGTTGAGAAAGAACAAAAACAAGTGATTATAAATGAGTTGCCAGTTTTCTGCAACTGCAATTTTTAAATACTGTTGAAAAAAACAATATTAATATTTAGAGGAGATCCTAGTTTAAAATGAACATTCGTAAAGAATTCTATTGGAAAAGAACAGAAGTGAACATTTTCAAACTGAGAGGTTTCTTTTGTCCAAAATATTTTTCCTATTAAACTTTTTTAATTTAACTTCCATTTTATTTAAAATATATATTTTTTTTTTTTAAATGGTATTGTTTCTTAAGCCTTATATTTTTTTTTAAATGTCTCCTTTTGGAATTGCTACAAATTAGTATATCTACAATAGGGAGGCAAACTCAGTGCGTGAATTTAAATATGGACGGTCTCTGGGACAACAGCACAGTTTTTTTTGGGGGGGATTTACGGTTTGCAAAAAGCTGTTTTGTTTTTAGTAAAGTGTTATTAAGTAATATTCACTGTCCAGCTTTGATCTTCGGTTCTTGCCACATCATTAAGGGGCATCCGGCCTTAAAACTTAGAGCCAGAATTATTGGCTCTAGAATAGGTGAGCTTAAAGGTATACTATAGTCCCCAAACAACTTTAACTTTAATGAAGCAGTTTTGGTGTACAGATTATGCCCCTGCAGTCTCACTGCTCAATTCTCTGCCGTTTAGGAGTTAAATCACCTTGTTCATACATCCCTAGCCACACCTCCCTGCATGTGACTTACACAGCTTTCCTAAACACTTCCTGTAAAGAGTCATCTAATGTTTAAACTTTCTTTGTTGCAAATGGTTTAATTTGGGATTTCCTATCTCTCGCTCTGTTAATAGTTTGCTAGACCCTGCAGGAGCCTCCTGTATATAATTAAAGCTCAGTTTACAAAAACTTTTAAAGTAAGTTACGTCTGATTGAAAATGAAACTATTATGTTTCAATGCAGGCTGTATTGGTCACAGCCAGGGCAGCTGTGGCTAGGGCTGCATAAACAGAAGCAAGTGATTTAACTCCTAAATGGTATGATCTATACACAACCCGCTTCATTAAGCTAAAGTTGTTTTGTTGGCTATAGTGACCCTTTTGTTTATTTGTTTTAATATAGGAGCAAGTGGTTATTACATATTACACTATTGGAGATTTTCTATTTTTTTTTTTTTTATTCCAGCTTAGAATCCGATCCTGTGGAAAGTGTGATGCTGCCTTAAAAAACAAAAGCATTGTGTAAAAAGCTAGTATTTTCAGGCTCAGACCCATAAGAATGTATCTTATTAGTTTTCACTATTTAAAAACAAAGACAAATATAGTTTAGATGGCCAATGTAGGAAGTTTACCTTTATGTTTATGATGTATATCTCTGATATATTCTTAATGCAAGGGTAAGGAAAATAAAAATTGTATGTACACATTTTATAGATTTTTTTTTTATTATTTTTTTTTTTTATTGCTATTCGCTTTATATTTAAGCACTTGATTGTATACACATTTCTCCTTTTTGAGTTTTTGCTGTATTTATTCCCTTTTCTAGGTTAATTCTATATCACAGTTGACTAAAGAAGAGAGAGAATTTCAGTTAACGTTTACGAACGTACAAAATGGACAGCCATCCGAGAAAAGGTAAGAAAGTATTTGTAAAATGTGTTTTGTTTTTTTTGTTTTTTGTTTTTTTTTGTCTTTTGTCTTAACATTGTCGTCAACTGTTTAACTTTTCATTCTATGTATACAGCATGCAAGACTCAGGAAATGATACCATTGACGACAGAAGGTCTTCATTTGCATCAGAACATGTTAAAGTCCAGCCTGAGAATGGTGCAAAGATGAATGCAGAATCATCTTCTGGGTCTGAGGAGAAACCAAGAAGTGAGAATACCAGTACTGAAATTGACGGTTGCATGATAAATGCCCCGTCTACCAATGGCTACGGCAGTGAGTCTTCCACCCACTTATTAGATATTTCTGAAAGTGAAGGTTCTGTATCACTTACAGAATCAAATCAAAAACAAGAGATTGAAACTTCGGTGAGCTTCTCCAAAAATGGATATTGTGCGCACCAAGACTTAACTCAAAAGGCACAGCCCTTTGAACACACTAGCGATCATGAAAATAAATCAAGCGAGAGGCAGGTCATTGCGGAGAAGAAGCAAATTGTTTTTGCGGATACCAAGCGCGTTAAAAGGGAACACATCCGAAATGAAAGATGCCGCTCTGATAGTAATGATCGAGTGGATGAGAAGTCTAAAACAAATGGCCATAGCAAAGAACGTCATTCCCATAATAGAGGGAGTAGGACACCTGATCGTTACCGACCATCTTATTGTAATGAATACAGACATAGAAACAACTATAGAAATAATTCATATTCATACAAAGACTACCACAGCCATTACAGGGCAAGGTCAAGAAGTAGAGACAAAGATGACTATTCTAGAAAGTTTGATCATTCAAAACACAGTCGTTCTCGCAGCCATGAGAGAAACTATCCAGATAAAACCAGAAGATGCGATGATTACAAATATTCTGATTATTATTCATCTGCTTTCAGAGATGCCAAAGAAAGGCACTATGATGACCGAGACTATCCCAACAAATCCTACAGGGATTACCGCAGTGGGTGGCAGTATCATGATCGAAATAAGGGACGAGAGCACTTCTATGGCCCAAGGCATAATCCATACTACACTCATTCTCTTCCACGACAGTCTAATAAGTACTACCATGAGGATTCTAGCAATGTAGATGATCACTACCACAATGATATTCATTCCAAAAAGCGAAAATTTGAGGACTTGCACAAGCAAAAAGAAATTGATGTGTTGAATGAAAGAAAACGTAAATACACTAACGTGCTAGGGAACTGTGAAAAATATGATGCCAGACACAAACTAATGCATACTACAACGTAGAAAATGTGGCCTTTAAGACTGAAAGTAAGGTCCTGTTTTTCAGGGGTTTTTTGTTTTTATTTTTCCTTCAATAAAAAATATATTTTTCCGTGCCAGAGCTTTTTTTTTAATTTAATTTATTTTTTAGTTTGTGGGTTTTTAAAAAAATTTATTTTTATTTTTTTCTATTTTTGCTGTGGGTTTTATTTTTCCCACAACCAATTCTGCTTCTGTTTTGTGGGGCTTTTGTCTTTGGGTATTTCTTAAATTAGTTTTTTTGACAAAAGCCACTGGTCTCCCAACATCCAAAGTCTTTACTGCCACTCAGACAATGTTGACATTTCACTTGGATGGCAGTGATAGACTGAATCATAAGCTTACATTGCAACTATTGCTCATTGCCTAACATATTACCATTAAAGTTTGGATGGCTTTGAAAAGATAAAGATCTGAACAGAAAATGAGGTGTAAGATTCCTGGTTGTTTTAAATCAATAGTTTAAAAAAACAAAACAAAACTGATCTCTCAGAAAAAAACTGATCTACTCCATAGAGGAGTAGAAGTGAAAATTGTAGTGATCATTGAGAGTTGGGTGTGTCGGTTAACATTTCAAGTAGGCAACTTCCTTGAGATTTAACAATCATAAATCTACTGATTTATGACTCATTCAGTATATACCGCTTTACATATTCTATGCTGCAAGAGGGCATCTAGAAATCAAATGGAAATCAGTAGAAATGGAGTCCTTCACTTTTAAAACATACTGTGCACACAAGGCCTTATTTCAGGCTTCCCAAAACTCCGGCCCTCCTGATGTTGCTGAACTACAACCATGATTCTATGAATGAAATAGGCTGAGAATCATGGGAATTGTAGTTCAGCAACATCTGGAGGGCTGGAGTTTAGGGAAGCCTGCCTTATTCCATAGAGATCAACAGGTTTATTAACTTAAGTGGTGAGAATTGTTATGAATGTAAAGTACATTTTAAATTGAAGGGCAAACTAGCCACACTGGAAACCTTGCTGATTTGGGGAGTTTTTTTTCCAGTTGTGCGATTTTGATCTCAAATTTGCAATTAACTTTGAATTCCCAACAATATTCACTTTAGTAATTAACCCTAAATGTATTCGAAAAGATCTCTTGGGGAAAATTCATTGTTTTTAAAGTAGTACGTATCTGCAGAAACTGTCCTGCACTCAGATGTGTGGTGTGGTCCACCCCCTGACTTCCCAAAATGTAGACCCCCCAGATGTTCTAGAACAAGGATAGGCCACTTTTGGCACTCCAGATGTTGTGGACTACATCCCCCATAATGCTGGCAAAGCATCATGGGAGGTGTAGTCCAAAACATCTGGAGTGCTGAAGATTGCCTATGCCTGTTCTAGAACTGCAACCTCATTCATGCTTTGCTGTTCTAAATATAGTCAACGTATTTGTACTTTTAAAACTTCTGGGAATTAAAATTTTTGTATACATCCGCTGGAAACAGATACGTATCCCTACTGTGGCTCTTCAGAGAATATAGCGTATGTATGTATGTATGTATGTATGTATGTATGTATGTATGTATGTATGTATGTGTGTATGTGTGTATGTATGTGTGTATGTATATATATATATATATGTGTGTATGTATATATATATATATATATGTGTGTATGTATATATATATATATATGTGTGTATGTATATATATATATATATGTGTGTATGTATATATATATATATATGTATGTGTATGTATATATATATATATATATATGTATGTGTATGTATATATATATATATATGTATGTGTATATATATATATGTATATATGTGTGTGTATGTATATATATGTATATATGTTATTTACTAAACAATGGATTGTGGTATGGTAGCTAACAACTGAATGTGTGCAAAAGTTATTATTTATTTGGTACCTGCACCTATACTGAAGTGTTTATAACCTGCTTGCTGACTGTCTGCATATTTTTAAATTTATTTTTATTCTTTTTTTTTTTTTTGGACACGTTTTCTCCTCAGAATGATCTGTTGCATCCATTATATGGTACTTTATCCTCTTTAAAAAATATTTGTAGAAAATCATGATTTACCGAATTGAGTCTACAAGCTTTTTGTCAGCCCAACTCTCCACAATTAATCATCCAAACTGGCTGTGGAGAACAAATGGACTTAAAAAAAAAAAAAAAAACACATTCCTAGGACTGGCTTTCATCAATGAACACGGACTTTTTTGGGTGCTTTTGATGAAATACTGTATTTTACAACTGACTTTTTTATAATTTTATTTTATTTTTTAAGCATTTTTCTCTACTACAGAACATCTGTGAAAAGAACAGTATGAATAAGATTTTGCAACACATCCTACAAGTGCTGCTTTCTCTTGTCTCAGGACAGTCGATGTAAAAAAAAAAAAAAAAATTTTTTTGACACCATTCATACAGAGTTGGACTTTGGAGAGATTCTATTCATACATGGAAAACTTGTTTCTTTGCCTTTTTCTTTCTGGGAATCCAACAAAGTAGGATATACTATTTATTTTATTTTTTCCCTCTTTCTACATCATGAATGTTTAAATTTTTACTTATTTTTTGGGGAGAGGGGATAATTTAACTTTTATTTTTTATTTTTTTTATATTTATTTTGCTATGGACTTCGGGTAACCTGTTTGCTGCCGAAAGCAACTTTAAACGAGTTTTGACTTGACTTACAATTAGTTTAAAGTTAAAGTCGGCTCTTCATACTGTGATTTTATTTAAAGATGGGGTTCTATTTAAAAAAAAAAAAAAAAAATTTATATAGACTCTCATTTTGGGATTTTTCTTTTTTTCTTTTCCATTCCTGTATCAGGAGATGGAGAAATAAGAGAAAATATGGATTTAGTATGATTTTAACATCTGCATAATCTATTGGTTTTTTTTTTTTTTGGTTTTTTTTCTTAAAATACAAAATATACATTTGAATTGTGTGGGGGGACCCTCACTGATGTAGCATGTCAATTTTAGTATATAAAAGGTTAAAATGATCTTGTCTTGAGTTTTTATTTTATTTACTTGCTACATTGACATCTTCAATACCAGAATCAAGTATAAACATGTTTTTATTTTCATGTATTTTACTGTATAATCTAGTTGATGTTTCTCACCCCATGTGTACTCTAGTCTTGATTACAAGCCTGTATATGACCAAATTTCTCTGTCAGAAGCCACTAGTTAATAAAATGCCTGTAAAGTTGCTGAAAATTTAGATATTTTTTTTTTTTTTTTTTTTTTTTTTTTTTTTTTTTTTTTTTTTTCCCGCTCCTATTGTAAAAATTAGGCAGTCCATTTAAACTTCCTGTACTATTTGAAGTCAGGGAGAGGAGTGAATGGACTCTGCACTGCAATGCTGACAGCAAAATGGAAGAGATTGCTATAGCAGTTTTAAACTTTTTTTTTTTTTTTTTTATATATCAGTATGATTTAACTGTATTTACATTAGTAAGAGTTCCTTATTCGTACAGCTCTGTAAACGCCACTGCAACATTTACTGTGCTGAAAAAAGCAGTGGTGCTAATTTAAATAAATTGTGCGTATGAACAAAAATGGAATACAGCTGTATAACTAATTTTAGCAATTAAATATGACCCCCAATGGTTGCACTCACGAGATAATGAAGAGTAATGCGCCTTTAAACCCACAATGGGGTCTGGAGAGGTGTTCACCTTCCACAAATAGGGACTTCTGTCTTCAAATGAAGTGGAAATACAAAGTCAACATTTTGGGCCAAACGGAGACATATGTTGAACTTTCTAAAGATCCTACTGGAACATTTAATTCCTTGTTAAAAAGTCTGTTATTAAGAGCTTTAGAAAATATATCTAAAAAAAAATTTCAATTCTTGTTTAATAAATATCCTGTAATTCCTATCTTATTTTTTTAACAAAACTCCACAAAAATCAGTTGTTTCCACCTGGACGCCCAATTATTAGTGGCATTAATTCTATCACAGCAAATCCTATCCTTTATTGATGCAAGGCTTCAAAAATATGCTCACGGTGCTCTTTCATATATTAAGGATACCACTGCCATTCTACAAGAGTTTGAAAGTATTAAATGGAAAGATGAATATAGTTGGGCAACATTAGATGTTACATCATTGTACACTGTTATACATCATAAACTGGGCATTGTTAACCAAGACCCAGAAGTTGATGATTCCCTTAAAAGGGTTTATCTCAGCAGCAATTACATTTATACTTGAGCATAACTTTACATTTTTTCACAAGGGTAAATTTTACCTCCAATTGACTGGAAACGCCATGGGGACCAGGTTCGCCCCCAGTTATGCCAACCTTTACATGCGCAGATGGAAGGACCTCTTTGTGTGGTGCGGGCATGACTGGGGAGCGAGCCTGGTCCTATGGCTGTATTCCATTTTTGTTCATACGCATATCTGTATTTGAGGTTCGTTTGGGGGAAACCTCTTGGAAAGCTGCACCTATTTTTTGCATCACAGTTAAGTACTTTTGCCTATTTCCTATTAGTCGGTGGGTTAGGTATATTTGTACTTTGTGTTTTTTTTTCGTTTAAATTGTCTGCTGCACCAAAAGATAAAATAGAAGGACCGATCTAAAATGGATATGTGAACGGAGAAGGTTTTGGTTATTCGAAACCGCCAATGGCTGCCAGTATGTCCATTTCCATATATGGATTAAATATACACATTCTGTATAAAACTAAATACATTGTCAAACTGGTAATAATGCTAGAGGATATACACAAAGCATTGATTATACCAATAAATGTTAACTAGCTAGATCAAGTTATGGGATAAAACACATTAAATAAAGATCTCATCTACATTACGCAATATCGAGATACTAAAGTCGGTCAGAGAGTAAGAATGAGGCTGTAAAGTAGCTACCTTGGCTACTAGAAAGGTCGCCTAAGCAGCCTACGTAGATTACCCAATGACGCTCACTGGTACCTCTATTACAAACCGACAAACTATTTGATGCTTTTATAAAAACACCTAACAAAGTGTCATAGCTTGGTGCTACTTCTAAGTGTGTAGTTGGAGATATTCTGGAGAGTTTTACAGAAGCTTCAACTGTCTAAGAGTTGTGCTAAGAGCTTTCTTTTCTATTGTTACAGGTAAGATTCATCTGTTGGAAAAGGTTACTGATTGCACAAGGTTTGAATTCCTGTTGGTAATTATTAGGGAAAATGTATTCATACTTACCGTAATTTTCTTTTCCTGGCTATTATTCATGGCAGCATTTAACATATGGGTTTAGCTCCTCCCTCTAACCCTCAGGACAGGAAACACAATCAATTAAACAATTAAGCATACCTTCCCCTTGTATAATAGGAACCCCATCAGCCATCACACCTCAGTCAAGTAACAAGAAGCATATCCAATAGAGGGTGGGAAACCAAATGCTGCCATGAATAATAGCCAGGAAAAGAAAATTACGGTAAGTATGAATAAATTTTCCCTATTCCTGGCTAATCATGGCAGCATTTAACATATGGGATTCCCCAAGCAATAACAACACAGGGAGGGAAATGCATGCTACAAAAATAGTTTAATATAGAGATCATCTATGAGGATTAAAGGAGTTCAGGACCGACAGGCCAAACTCCGAATCCGAGCGGGAAGCAATATCCACTTTGTAGTGTTTTACAAAGGTCTTTAGAGAAGACCAATTGGCAGCCTTACAGATGCTCTCTGCAGGAACTCCTGACTCTGCAGCCCATGAAGTAGCGATAGATCTTGTGGAATGAGCCCTGATGTTTTTCGGAACAGGAACACCACACGCTCCATAAGCCCTGGAGATAGCCGAAACCGTCCAGGAACGAAGAGTGGAGACTGAGGTGGCGTCACCTTTGCGAGAACCCCAAGGTATAATGAATAATTGAGAGGATTTCCTCCAAGCAGCAGAGCGTTCTATATACATCAGTAAACATCTACGAAGATCCAGCATATGACACCTTGATTCCTCAGGGGTAGAAGGATGCTGAAAATAGGCAGGCAAGATAATTTCCTGATTGAGATGGAAAGATGTAACAACCTTGGGAAGAAATTCAGGCCTCGGTCGGAGAACGACCCTATCATCAAAGAATGAAGTGTAAGGTTCCTCGGCTGATAAAGCTCTGATGTCAGACATTCTTCTGGCAGAGACTAGAGCCAGTAATAATAGAGTCTTCTGAGAAAGGATCTGCAAATGTATGCTCCCAATAGGTTCGAAGGGAGACTCCGTTAGGGCCTGCAGTACCAGAGGCAAATTCCAAGGAGACGCCAGTTGTCTGATAGGAGGTCTAATCCGTACAACGGCCTTGAAAAAACGAACCACCATAGGATGAAGTGCCCATCGA